AAGAAAAAAAAAGACATGAGAAAAACATTGCTTTATAAAACTTAAGACTTAATAAAAAAATTTGATATTTTGCATATGGTTTATTACAGGGATATCATTGTTGTAAGTCCAATTCAGTCCCACGTAGGACCAACTTGTAAAAATCACAAATTCTTAAAATTATATATCAGCCCATGAAATATTATGTATTTTATTAGAACACTCAAAATTCACATAGATTTCTGATAACATACCTGGCTGTAAAGAAGAATGAAAAACTTTGATGTCATAAATACTATGCTCCTTCAACAACAGTGTTTTCATCTCTTTTCTTGACCAACGATTTATCTAAAATTCAATAATAAACATATTAATACAGGTCACATTTATAAATCTACAACAAAGATTTCAGTCTGATCTTTAAAAATATTTGAAGAGCATAACTTTATTTAACCAGTGCTCTACACCAGCATTTCTCAACCACTTTGATGCGAGGGACCAGCTCACTGCCTTTCCTAAACTATTGTGGACCACTAAATGCAAGTACAACAAAAACCATTATGACTTACATATAAACTATTTTTTTCAGTTTTTTTTGTTGTTGTTTTCAGGAAATCCCATGGACTGACAGCAGTCTGCAGACCAGTGGTTGAGAAACACTCTTCTACATAACTGGGAGATTCTTGGTAACAGATACCTGGGTACATTACTGTAAAAAATTCCTCAACTTAGGTAGCACAAGAAGAGGTTAATGGGGAGAAAACAAAATATAAATGGAGTTAACAAAAATCTACACAGTTAATCCATGTAAGAGAGTGAAGCAAAAAACTATGTAAATACTTTTTTTTGGAATGTGACTGGATATTAAAATTGAACACTGAAAAAATATTAAGGTTCAAAGAAGCTCTGGCCATCAAGACTATCCAACCAGAAATAAAAGTCATGGAGAACTCTTAGTATGTTAATTAGAATCTAATCTCAGGTAAGTCCAAAAAACATGTGAATATGTATCAGTTCAAAAATGAAATTAATATTAAATTTCAATCAGAGCATGTACTTACAGTGAAACTAAAATTAAATTGATAATCTGTATAGTTAATCAAATATACACTTCTTACATTTCTTATTATAAACATTAGAATGCATTGTTTCATCAGTTAGATACCCTTGCATTTAACAATACTACCTTGGTCAGATACAACAATGATATGCTTTATAAGGCACTATTTGAGTTTATTACTTATTTTTCAGTGTTGTCCTTTCTTTCTGTGTTAAGTTTTATTACCTATAGATATCAAATTTTTTTTTCACATTTTTAGGAACTTTAATTTATTTAACTTAGTACTATAATTTCAGATTTTCATACTTTTGACCCTAAGAAGTTACTTTAAAACTTATCTAAATGAAGTATTTTTGGCTATAAAACATCATAGCCCATTCGAAAATTTAGTATTTTTTACACCTGATAAAGGTAATGATGTGGTAATTTTGAATCAGAATGATTATACAGAAAAAGGTTTAAGTAACCTGAATGACAACACTAAGTTTAAGTCAGATCCTACAGCTTTGAGAGAATCATTTATAAAATTAACTTTAAAAATGAAAAAGGAATTACTTTAAATACTAATAAAACCTTCTGCAATATTACCAGGTACACAGCTATTTTATTTAGTCAACTATATTAGGTACCTTCAAGAATAGGTCTATACCATTACACATATTTCCTAATACAAACAAACAAGTAACACAGAAAGAACTATAACAACAAATTTCACAACCAGTTAAATTATAGGCTATACTTTTTACATCCATGAAGTTTACAGCTTAAATGTTCCTTACTTTCCACATTAAACTGCCATTAGCTGAATTAACCGTAAAATATCACTGAGAACATATTGAAAAAAAAATTCCTCCTCCATCAGAATTTGTTAATGTATAAAACTGTCAAGAAAGGAATGTATTTTAAGCACAATTAATCTTTTATGTACTAAATATAACATGTTCTTATACTCTCCAAGGTTACTTGTAAAAAGAGAATAAGATGTAATAAAACCATTTCAACAAATATATCAATCTGACAACAAACTGTAAAAATTGTCAAGTCTGATTTTAACAAAAAAAGTATTTATTAAATTCCAACAATGCTTCAGTACCTATATCCACCTGTGAAACACTGGAGCACGAAAGCTCAAAAAAATACAGGTCAAATCAAATTTATTTAACCACAAAAAGCATTTATTAAATTCCAACAATGTTTTGGTAGACAAATCCATGTGTTGAACATATTGAATTAAAAAGGCTATAACAATACTCGTTAAGTCTGATTTAAATGTTGACCAAGTAGAGCACTTATTAAATTCCAACATATATATATATGTACCTTAAGACAGATTCTAGGCTAATTACTCTGTTTACACATCCTTCATTCAAACACATTAGGGCAAGTTCCAAGAAAGGGAACTCTTTACAGAAACCACACCCACTTTTTACACATAGTCATGCAATTTTGTACTCAACTCTATTTATTTGTGCACATTTTTATAATCAATAGAAAAAGCTCATTTTAAAATACAATCTTTCAATGGTTATTTTCCAATTGGTGCAAATAATATTTTAAAAAGTATGTCGAACCGCTCTTAGCACTGATACCACTTGTGTTCCTGCTAGCACTTAGCATTGTTCGTCACCTACAAATATGGTAGTTAGATAAACAGTTAAATTGTATTTAAGTTTTAGTTTTATATTTCAATTATTTATAGGTTATTTAGGTTTTAAAATGCATATTAGAAAGGTTTAATAATTGTTTAAAAATATAACCCAAACTTTGCCTCAGGTCATGAGGCTTAGTGTAGTATGTGAGTGACACAACATTCTGCCAAAGACTAAAGTATCTCTACTGACAATACTGTAATATTCCCTGGGGAGGCCTGTTGACATGTGTCATGATGAATAATAACATTAAAAGATAGGAAATGAAAATAAAACCTTAAAAATAAACTATATGTGAAAATTTAAAGACCTGCAATTAAGAATATAATGAAACGAAGATCTTTAAAAACTATTTGATGAAAAATTAAGAGGTATGTACATTTTTTTCCATTTCTTAATTTTAAACATTTTATTGCACCATACTTTGATGATAATACTTGAAATATTCAGTCTGAGTGCAAATAAATACAATACAAAAATAATAAATCTTTAGTTAAAACACTTAATTAAAATAATCTCAAAATTCTTGTAAAATATTTATAATCTTTAACAAAATCTTACTAATTGTTGAGAAGATACGTTAAAAAAGCTCCATTATTGTAAGTATTGTTGAAGTTCTCCATATGAGAAGTATGTCAAATTGGCATGTCCCATAATCAGTGTTAAACAACTGATTTAAATAAAGAAACTTATAATTTATTGAAGATAAAGTATACAATGTGATAAAAGTTTAAATAAACGACCTTTACACACCAGATGTACATGTATATATTTGTTGTTTTTTATTACTACCAATGTTTCCCTTTTAAAGCCTCTTCAGGGTTAATACATACAAGCTGTTTGATATTTAAGTATATGTAAATTTTTACCAAAGATTTTAAAGAGAGAAAATATATGGAAGCTATACTCATTAACGAGAAAAATTCAAAAATGAACGGAGACAATTGATGGTACATGTAACCAAAACATCATTCATAGAACAACAAATTGTATCAATACATTTTACACTTATTTCCAGTTTAAGACTTG